TACTATTGCAGCCGAATACCCGCAGCATCACCCTCATCCTCCGCCTCATCCTCCACCTTTTGATGGTAGGCTCGAGATCTCTTGTTTTTCTTCTTTTCTGGCGGGATTATGAATTTTAGTTTTTATTTATTTGTTTGTTTATTTATTTTACAAGTATGGCCTTTTTAGAAATTGCTGGCATTTTTAACTTTGCGAGAAAAATTGGACATTTTTGGCTGTTTCGATTATGAAAGCACATATTATGTGGATTTGGTATCAAACGGGTGGTGAATTTTGGGAATCTCTCTTCAGAATAATTTCAATTTTTGGGAGAGATTTAGTATAGTTTTTTTCACTAGAAATTGTTGGCATTGCTAAATTTACCGGTAAAATTAGGGTTTGGTGTCTAGTTTGATTGTTTAGGAAAAGAAATTAGACCGTTGGATTATGGAAACACATAATATGTGGATTTTGATATCAAATGTGTGTTATGAAACTCTAGAAAGAGTACTATGTGCTATTGTGGACCATGGTTTTGGTTTAGAAACTCACTAGTTTCAAACCCTTGCAATGCACGGATTTGTTTATGATTGTGTTTGTAATATTTTCCAAACATACAGATATCATAATTTATATAAAATTTTTATATACATAAAAAAAATTAAAGTGAATAAACATGAACCGTAAGAGCTTTTACCTTGGGAGAAACCAAATCGCAATCTCTCAAAAAATAAAAATAAAACTCTGATCAACATGATCCCTAGGAACATTCTGGCAGGTACAACAATAGGATATTGAACAAAATTTGGGAATTCAAATTTAAGGGTTATAAACCACATATTTGCATACCGTGAGCAATGTACATGCATAATTAGGGGCCAGTAAGGGTGTGCCTGTCATAGTCAACATGTTCCATTAACTACGAATAGTTCATAGAATCAACAAATATGGATTGCTCTAAGGCATTAAACAGTAAAGTCATAGGCATTGAAAATTATATCACTCCTTCCAACTCATTTCATCACCAGTTGACACATTCTTGGCTCCTCAAGCGAAAGAACAAACGTGAAGAGCATCTCTATATGCTTGAACATTCCTCACATGAATGGATCCAAGTGAACCTTCAATAAAACCAATATCATATATTTGCAAACAAAAAATAAAATTCTAGCCAAATTAATCACCCCCGTTGAATGGATGAGATAATTTAATTAAACATTAAATCATTTTAAATGGCATAACAAACTAAGATGACCCACATTCAAGATAGAATTACCTTAGCAATGTAGCACGCAAAAATGTTTAAGTTATCTGAAAAAAGAGGTCAAGTTCCTGAACACCTTGTTCATCATTGAAACTTTTAATAATAATACCAATATAAGTGACCACAACGGTAGTCTTTATGAAATCATCTCCTGTATAAATATCTTTTTTGAAGTAACAAAGGCAAGATTACCTACATCATGATAGGGGCACAATGTAAGAAGCCATTTAATAATAAAATTGGGAGACATGTATTGATGCAAAAATAATATAAAATCTCAATTCTGAACAAAATTGCATTACAATCTGCAGCACTTCATTCAAATTTCAAAAAATACATAAAGAGAAAAGAAAAAGATGATTACATGAGAATTTTCATTAATGTACTATACAAAGATTTCTTTTTTTCACTGAAAAATATATAAAGTTCTAGACACCGTGTTTAGATATTCTTGGGAAAGACATATAAGCAGATTTTTCTTGGCACTAAAGAAGAATAAAGTTTACAGAAAATAGAAAATGATATTGATTCATAGCCTGAATAGGAATTTTAGTGGCATTAGGTATCCTATAAAAGAAATTAATATTTAAAAGGAGTGAATGAAGTTCAAGACGGCTTCACATGAAATATTTGTTGATTAGTTATTGTGCCAAAGAAGTTTATGGTTTATTAGAGATTAGTTGCTTATGCAAGCGAAAGAGTGGAACTGTTCGGGTGGGATCACAAAATCGAAAGGGGCAAAGAAAAATGTGCTGTGTATTATGATCTACTATTCAAAAACTTTTTGCATTGTATTCTATCAAGTTTGTGGGATGACATGGTTGAATTTCTAATTCTACCTATATGGATACAAGAACTTGTCCCCACCTGTTGAATAGCTATGTTTCATGGACACTAGTATAAATACGGGATATGGGTATGTGACACAAAAATTTGCAGAAAATTAGTGATGAAACTAACATGCACATGGCATGTATATATATATGTAGGGCTGAGCAAATGGTTGATTTGGTCGGTTTTGACTATTTTTATCTAACCTAACTAAACCGAACTAGTTCAAAATCGAACGAAACCGAATCAAATCGACCCAACGCGGTTCGATTCAATTTTGTTCGGTTTGAGCCTAGATATGTCAAGTTAGAGAAATTTTAGCAAAAGACAAGACTAATACTCCTTCAACCTTTCACTATCTCATATCCCAAGTTCAACAAAAAAACTCATGAAGTCGCCTACTTTACTAACTAAAATCAAACCGTTATCAATTAAGATATATAAAAATATTAGTAGAAATTATACGTTCACCTAAGAAGATCATGAGTTTTAGAATATTTTGTTGAGAGCTGTCGGTTCGGTTATTTCGGTTTTAAATATTCTAAGACCAAACCGAACTGAAACTTCTCTAAAACTGACCGAACTGAACTGCCAAAATTTAGTCGATATCATCGGTTTAATTTGTGCAAACCGAATAGTGCTCACCTCTATGTATATGTATGCACTATGTATGCATAGAAGTTAGCGTGTCACTACAAAAGCAGATATCATAACAGCAATAGACAATTAGTCGTAATCAATGTTCAATATTATTATTTATCGACATAATCATATCATTCTACTATTTATTAGAGAAGGTCTCTACTTCAAGTAAAAAAATCAGCAGGCTCACAAGTGGAACTTGCATTAAACAAAATGAAATTGTTTATTCTCCATGCAACTAGTTTGCAATTACAATCTTGCTTTTAAGAATGTGAAGACCGGAATTAATTTTAGGAAAATATTATTTTATTTATAATTGTAAGTCCAAATCAATCAAATCCCGAAAAAATTAGCCTAAAGAAAGCAATTAAATTGCAACGAATATTGAAACCTCCAAATCAATCTCTAATTATACTATGTTAAATTAGAAAACCTTAGAAAAACTTCTAAACGCTTGTAGCTTAAAGGGTGGCCAAAATTTTGTCAGATCCTCTCTTTGAGCTTTCTTGTTCATTGCTAAAGATCGTTGACCTCTCATTTTTTCTGTTGAGTGCTAGCTGACCGCTATATGATGCAAAAGCTTCATTGACATTGTCAACGCTGTCTGGAACAAGTTGTTCATGTTGCCAACGACAAAACCCTCTTCCACAAAATATTTGTTGGGCTCTGAGATGACATGAAATGACAGTGAGAGGGAAGAAGAAAATGAGAATGAAGGGCTAGGTTTGTAGTAAACTAGTAATTTATGTTTGGCTCAGTGGATATTTCGAGGATCACTTTGTTTCAAACCCGATGCTCACCAGACCCTATAGAACCTAATTTTAGCTTCAACTGTGGTAGACACACCCAACTGTGTGTGTGTGTGTGGCAAGCATGTAAGCGCACCAGATTGGACATGAGTACAAGAGGAACTACCCATACCGTTGTGCCATAGTTGAAGTGGTTTTTTTTATTCCACTTGTTAAATACACTAGTATTGAAATAATTAAATGAACTTGACAACTTGTTTGAAAATAACCTTTAGCCGTTGAACCGCCCCTGTTCTCTTTTGTGACTCCACTTTCACCTTTTTATGTTCTGAAAATTCTCTTCTTACCATAACCTTGTTCTTTATAAGCTATAATGTCGGTGCAGATAAAATAGTTTAACTTCACCTTTGCACTTAAAAGTTCCTAGTAACTTCAGTTTTTATGACCATTGGTATCTTTGATATAATTTCTCTCCGAACTATTACTTCCTGTATAAGCAATGAAGCTGTCTAGTGTCTACTATATCCTTGTTAATAATTGCATTTTCTGTTTTACTTCCTTCACCCATATGATAATCATATATAATGTTGTTTTAACTAATATTTTAACTGCAGCATATGGAGACAATTATGGTGCTAAAAGAATGCGAAAGCTTGTCCAGCGACGAGCTGTTGACTATACCAGTACTGCTGTCCGATATATGCAGGTAACCTTGGTCTGTCATTCTAATTCTTTTTAAAACTGAGATCTTATAGTTGTTGCTCTGTTATTTTTTATTATTGATTCTAGAAATGTTCTTGAGTTATAAAAACGTTTTTTCTAGATTCTTTTCAACTGCTATTAATAGTATTGTTAATATTGAAAATAAAATCCATCAACTTGATTTTGTCTTTTGTAATTTTATTAGATCTTTTAGTTGCATAATCATAAACGCAGTGGACATCAACTTATTTATTATTAGGACCATGAAATAATTGGTTAATGATAAATGTGCAGAAATTTAAATTACAATGGAGGAAATCTAACTGTGCACAATTATAGAGATTTGGCCTACCTACGGAAAACAAAGACTTGTCACAAATTCTCGGGTTTATAAAGTAACTTCTAGTCTTGGTTCGGATTGAGTCATATGGGATCAATAACATTTCTATGGTACTTAGAAATATTTACATGCTTATGAGTTATGATAGACCCAGTAGCCCAGCCTTTTTACTACTTTATGTTATAATAAAATCTTAGTTTACTAAAAACATCAGTATAGAAGGACTTATTTATGAATATTTTCTTAGCAGTTGTAGCTTTTTGTAATGTCTAATGTCTTAATAATATTACAGCCATATCTTATCTCCTTGCCTTCCTGTCAAGTACATTTACCAATTGTTAGAAGTCATAATAGCTCATGTTCCATTATCAGGTTCGCATGTGGCAGCGTGATGTAAGAGACAGGACTGTTTTGCAACCTACTTCAGCTGCAGTCTTAGATGTAAGTTAATTTGATTTCCTGCAAGATGCTGATCTTTGCTAGTCATTCTTAGCTTGCTGCATTATAATCCCTCATCTCTCCCTCTGCCAAACTTCAAGTTGCGAAAATTTGAGGACAGACTGATATTTTATAAACAATTTTCTAATGTGAGGTGATCATAGAAATATACTCCTCTCCTCATGCAAACACTTATCCATGCTGCCACTGCATCTTGCAATATTCTAAGGAAAAACTGCTCTAACCTTTTGCTAGTTTAATTATTTATCTAATTTGAGGCAAAGTTAAAATTACAAGGATTTATTTTAGCATATAATAAGCTTTCTGGAATTTTTATGGATGCAGATGTTACCTCCAGTTGCATATGCTGACAATCCATCGACAAGCTTTGCTGCAAAATTTGTCCATGCTTCCACGAATAAAAATAAATGTTCAATCAATCGTGTGTTGGTAAGTACTAAAACTCTTACTTACGCACGTATATGCATGCCTGTGCTATGTGTGCTTGCACAGTCACACACATGGATGTGCGCATGTTATATATGTGTACGTGTAATATTATATTCTATGCTGCACTTGTTATTACATTTATATCTTGCTCAAAATTTCCTGGTTGGACGCCCTCCCTTGACCCGCCACTTATCTTTAATCTTGGGTACTTTACATGGAATTTGAAGTTATTTTTTCTTGAAAATTTTACAAATTAAACCCCAAATTAGTTCCGTGTCATGGGTGGGGGTACATTGTCATTTGGATGCATGTGCCTTAGACCTTATTTCAGGCCATTATTGGAATATAATATATGGGTCATGCATTTCACTTATCTGAGAGCACATTCACTTCGTGTTTGTGTTAATGCCTTAATGTGGAAGCTTCATGTTCTGCCCTGTTATCCAAACCTGTTGAAACTCCCTTCTTCATTCCTTTTCTGTTCGACCAAAAAAGATCCAGGGACCCACCTTCTCTTCGTATATTTTTAACTAGCAGACCATCATTCCGGTGTAAGCAGATACAGTGGTGTTTTCTGGATCATGTTTGCAATATACTTCATTTCTGCATATGTAGAAAACAATGCCTACTCCAACTAAGGAAAGGAAAAGCTCTTCACAAGCAATGCTTTAAGTTCATAGACTTTGTTCTTCACATGCAACTTTTTAAGTTCATAGGCTTTGTCGTCGTTGTTGATGTTATTATTATTACATTATAGTTTGTCAGCCTAATTAGTGAATAAAATTTTAAACTGGAGGTTGTCAGTTAAGTAAACTTCTCAATTTCCCTTATAGTTCTAGCAGTCACATGAATTTGTAGTCCATGAATGCCTTGAGAAATTTGCATTCACTGAACAAATTGTCAGATGGGTCCATTCTCTTGATGTAGGCAACCTTATCTAGATTTCTCTGTCTAACACATGTACTGTGTTCATCGTGCTGGTATTCATAAAGAAAAGTGGTTCTAGGCCCGTTGTGTAGGATTTAATACCTTGAATGCGGTTCGAGTTGTCTGCAATTCTGAGCAAGTACTGTTTTCTGAGGGTCTTCCAGATCTTGGTAGATGCTCTGTAAATGATAGGATATGATTATTTAATATTTTATCTTTAAAAGTTTATGACCTTGGCAAGTAGGAGCAACAAAAAGGAATGTAAATGTAAGTTTTGGAGATGGTATTATATGTTGCAAATCAGATTTAATTACAATGTCAAAATTTATTTTTCTATCGTGAAGTAGTGCGGAATTTTGGATTGCTCTCGTCATTATAAGTGCATTAGAGCAGGTTAAATATTACAAAATTTATGCCTACAATATAATTTCATATGATCTAATTTTCTGGAAACAGTGGACACCGACGGGGAGGCGTTTGATTACTGGGTCTCAGAGTGGTGAATTTACTCTTTGGAATGGCCAGTCCTTTAATTTTGAGATGATTCTCCAGGTTCTGTGGTGCTATTCATCCCCTCTTTGAATTTATTAATTTTATACTCATGAGATCCTACTCTCTGCTCCAGGCACATGAGCAACCAGTTAGGTCCATGATATGGAGTCATAATGAGAATTGGATGGTCACTGGTGATGATGGTGGTTCAATAAAGTATCTGATTGCTCATTATATCTTATTCCGTTGTATTTTAAATCATTTTGGTTAACCGTTGAATTTATAATATTTTACATGAATTCCACATTTTTGTCTTATCATTGAGTAGGTATTGGCAAAACAATATGAACAATGTGAAGGCAAACAAGTCTGCTCACAAAGAATCTGTTCGTGACTTGAGGTACAATTTGAGGGTGTTTTCCTGTAGCCTTTGTGACATTCTAATCTTATTTGTTCTAAATTCATTTTTTTCAACAGTTTCTCAAGAACAGATTTGAAATTTTGTTCTTGCTCTGATGACACTACTGTTAAAGTTTGGGACTTTGCAAGGTGTCAAGAGGAAAGATCGTTAACTGGTAATTGTTGCAGATTTATTTCTAGCTTCTCTCGAGCATTCTCAGCTACTCTTAGTTGAAATTTTAGTTGCTTTGTTTTAACACACTATCAATATATACTCTGACCAGACTGAGGAAGAATACAATCCTAAGATGAACATTAATCACTTTGTTACTGTGCTTTGAAGTCGGCAAAAAAAGGGAAATATGTTGACCTATCATGTTTGTATCCTTGATTGTTAAACAATTTAGACGATGGGTTGGACCAAATTTTGTTACTTTTGTTTAAAATTAACTTTAGTTGCAGGAGGTTGACAAATTTGCGAAGAAAAAAATTCTCATATTTAAGTATTTAGAGGAGAAAGATAATTTCAAAGAGTGAATTTATGCAGTAGTGGCTTCTTGCTCGATTGGAGTGCTCCTTGCTCTTGGTTTCCTTTTGTCTAACAGTTCAGGTTCCTGTGGAGTTTATTTGATTGATTTCTTGAGTACATGGCGGAGATTGGGGACTTCTGTCTGGGAGAGCATGCCTCCATCACTGTAATTGATTTTTGTTGTTATTGTTATAGCTGCAGGCTACATTAGTGGTGTGAATTTTCCAGTCAGCCAGTTGATTCGATCAAGCTGTAACTAAGGAGCTATGTTCTTCACATAACACCTGGTGCGATATGCCAATGCAAGTTTATTGATATAAGTTCATGTTGAGCCAAAAGTTCCTGCTTATCATGATACATTATCACCATCATGACTCATCTCTCACAAAAGGGGAAAAACGTTTTCCATCAAAATGGGCTTGGTCATGGAATAAAGTTCGGTGAAAGCGTTAGCATATTTGAAATCCGATAGTTGGGAATTCAATTAACATTCTCTCATTGAGAAAACTTTAAACAAGAAAGGGGATTGCCATAATCTCGAAGAATTTGGGACAACCTCAAAATTTTTATATTTACAAAGATTACAAAGATTGAGAAGGAAAAAAAATAATGAAGTTGTGATCGGTAGTTGCGTTCAATCCCGAGATACAGATGAAGGTAACATTCAAACAAAAAGTATTTGTCCGTCTCAGAATTACATGCATCCTTTTTCCTCCTCTTTTTGTGTAACAGTAGGAGAATCAGAGGGGGCTATCTTGTGTCCGGAGCATATCCAGAGTATTAGCAGTTAGTGAACATTGTGATTAAGCAATATGGTTACTAGCTCTTGCGTTGTGATTCTGTTTATTGCCCTGATTTGGCCCCTGTAAACTACATGCTGAGGAAACTCTGTTTCCTTCATATGTGAAAGATGTCATCTAATATAGTTTCTTGTTGGATTTCATCTGTTATTTTTTTTCCACCTATGTCTCCATATATATCTTATAAGACAAATATTGTAGAGAAGATCAATATTTAAAAAGGCGGTCCAGGCGCTGTTCTACACGCCATCCTAACCTAAGTGGTGTCTAGGCTGCTTGGCTAGGACTTGGGAGCACCTATGGGGGAGTTGCTTACATGGACTGCATTGCTAAGATTTTGGTCGTGATTTCTTCCATTGCCGCCTCCACTTCCTCCGACATCCTCCAACCTCCACTGACTACGAGCACCTCCTCAACGTCCTCCAACCTTTAGTATAACCTCCTCCTCCACTTAAATAAAAATAGAAATCCGCCTAGGTGATGGTCCGGTGCCTATTGGCACCTAGCGCTTTCTTTAAGATTAGAGGGGATACTGTTTAAGAGGGAAGCTTTTCCCCTAGCCACTGGAGAAGAATATAGCTGATGGTACTGCAAGTTTCTATTATTGCTTATTTAGTTATTTACTATTAACGAACTTTCCACCTTCCATGGGCTGTTGCACTTTTCAGAGAGACAGATGCTTCGGACTGAAGTTTTATGTGAACTTCTAAATTTAAAGTATCTGTTCAATTTCCAATTGCTGATTATCAAGTAGTTATAACCCTTTTTCATTAAATTGGTGTGAAATAATACTGTCAGATTCTGAGAATCACGGGTCACAAAATTTTGTATTTATACCATTGTCATCATGCTATAGTCAATGTACTTCTAGCCTTTTGTTATCAGAACAGCATCATATATGGAGCACATGCACCCATGTGAGACCTGCCAGTACTTAATGACTGTCATCCAATTTTAAATTGTGTTTGTTCTTGAAAAGATTATGAACATGGTGAGGGCTTAGCCCCGAATCCTTGAAAAGCTACTTGTCTGGTTAGAGAACTACCATGTTGGATTGTTCTGAATATGCTTGTGCTAATGGCAATCCTACAGATTTCTACTTGACTAGCAAAAAGTCTTCAAGAAGGTAAGCGATAATAAACTATCTATTGGACATTACATTCAAAGAGTAAAGTACGAACAAACCAAGGAGCGAAATAGAAAACATTCACAAATAGAAGCACAAATTTACAACTGTAGCATTTCAAATTCTATAGATTTTGTGGATACATGTTCTGCATAGTCTTTTCGATAGGGAGAACTGTTACTTGAGATAACATCATTTGCTGCTTGCTACTGCATCCATGAAGGAGAACAGTTTTACATGTATCATGTCAAAGATAATGTCCTTTGATATGCCTGATATTTGCATACAGATTGAATTGAACATCCACTAATAAATGCTGCAAGTAACTATATTATTATGTTTATCTATCAGGGTCTATGATACCATTTCTCTTTTTCTTTTCTTGCTTTCTTTCTTTTCCTTTTTGAATATAACATGGAGTAAGCATATGCTATTGTTATTTTGCATTCAAAAACATTGTTGTTGCAGTTGTAGATCTTTTCTCTTGCCGTGTCAAGGATGTGAAATACCATCCTCGTTCACAAGCTTTATCCAGAGATTGTACTTTTATGTTGATTTTGTTTTGGATGTTGTAGTTCCAAATACAATGAGATTTAAGTTTCTGTTGTATTTTTGGCATTATTTTCCACTTGCTTGAGAATTTATTTTCATGCAAAAGCCATAACCCATAATCATGGTTTCATGTTCAAGTGGATTGGATGACCAACTATATGACTATAGCTTGTATAAGATATCCTAAGATTCCTTTATTTATGCCTTGAACTCAGACAGGCCATGGTTGGGATGTCAAGACTGTTGACTGGCACCCGACAAAGTCATTACTGGTTTCAGGTTCCCTTCTGCACTTTGCTTGCCTTTATTATCTTTTTTGCCATTCTGGAATCTAACATTGCCTTGGTGTCTGGCAGGTGGAAAGGACAATCTTGCTCTGGATGCAAAATCAGCCGGAAAGCAGCTATGTTCATTGTGGTACAGTTCCTTCATTGTGTAAATATTTTAACAGGTCCGAAACATTTTATTGACAGCCACGGGCATAAAAACATGGTTCTTTCTGTCAAATGGAATCAAAATGGTAATTGGGTTCTTACTGCTTCGAAGGATCAAATTATAAAGGTAGGTTACATCATCTTTTGTTATGTCAAGCAACTATTAGTGTATTGCCTTTCGGTAATTGTAGATAATCCATATTCAGTTTTTCATGCTGTCGTATGATTAAAATTTTTTATGAAAAGAACTATCTTGTTGGTTAAACTGCAGACTTTCTTCATTACTTACCTAGATATAGGGTTAGCAAACTTAGACCCGAATCGAGGAAACTGACTGAACTGCCTGATTTTTAGCAGTTTGATTCTGTTTTTTGGTCTATTCAGTTCCTGTAGGTTTGAAAATATTTCAACCCATTATTACCAACCCGACCGAATATCCTCATCTTCCTTTAAACCTCTCAGCAGTAAGCTAGTTTTGTAACTGTACCCAACAAAGTCTTCATCCTCCTAGTTCCTGTCTCTCTCTCCCTGCCGGACACACTCACATGTGAGTGATTTTAATGCCCAACCCAATGCATGCTAGCTGTCTCCAGATCATAAAAAAACAATAGAGAGAGGATTTCAAATACTAAACTAAGCCCTCTCTCTTCTCGCAAGGTTCTTACCAAGCCAATTTAAAATTCCCAGTCACCCATTGGACCATTTCCCTCTTTTATTCTTTCTTCAATCTTCATCTTCATTAAATTCTTCTTCTGTTATTACTTGATTTTTTCCCCCATTTATCACCTTGAGTTGCCCAATGTTACATTAAACGTTGGGCGCTTCTAGGCGTCAGACTTGGCGCCCAGTGCTTAGTCGCCTAGGCGGGCGCCTAAGCGGTTTCTGAGCGTTTTTTTCTTTTTTATTTTTTAAATTGTGATACTTGAAGATATATATATATATATATATATATATATATATATTAGAGAGAGAGAGAGAGAGAAGAGAGAGCGATTAATGGGTATCCCTTTGTCATAGGAGGGATTTTCTCCTATGACGTCTCTAAAATCACATGATTGAGCCGACACTGTGCTGGATGATCTGCTCCGTTTGAATTTGAACCTACATTTCCTAAACCTCACACACAAGTTTGGTGAACCCGTCGTCGTTTGAACCTCATCCACTGTATCAATTTAACGGTTTTGCAATGAATAGAACTTTTCACATGGCTCGATGGAGGGTCAAACCGACGCACGGATCTCACCCCAAACTTGGTAAACGCGTGTGTGGCGGATTTAGAGTATCTAGCATCAAGTTCAACGGAGCGGTCATCATAATGTCGCGTCAATATCATGTGCACGTTTAGAGGGGTCAAGAAGGAAATTCCCCCCTATGCAACAGGATACCCATTAATCCTCATATATATATATATATATTATATATATATATATAATATATTATTATTATATATAATATATTATATATATACCCAATCAAAGATGCATAAATACTAAAATACCAACACTATTAACTAAATTGCTTGGTTTACCAATTATAATAGCTCTTTGTATGTTTATACTACTCAACTCAAATTATAAGTTCATCTCAACAGTGAAAAACTCATTCTCAACTCAAATTACTGTTAACTTATAAGTTACTGTTAAGTTTAAGTTACTGTTAACTTATAAGTTACTGTTAAGTTTAAGTTAACAATAAACTTAAACTTAAGTTTACTGTTAACTTAAGTTTACTGTTTACTTAAACTTAATATTAACTTAAACTTAAACTTAAACTTAAGTTTACTGTTAGCTTATACTTAAGTTTAACTTAAACTTAAGTTTACTGTTAACTTACACTTCTTAAGTTTAAGTTACTGTTGTTAACTAACTTAAATAGATATTTAAGAAGTACTATTTATCTTGTTAGTATTACAGAGATCGGGGAGCTCGGCAATATTACAGAAGATGCTAGGCAGACTAGGCGTTTGAGCGAGCACCTAGCGCCTAGACTCCTGGGCGTGCGCCTAGGCGTTTGACTATTTTTAAATTATTTAATTATAATAATTAATAAAAATATGTATTTAATTCATATAAATTTTTAAAAAAAGATAGCAATCTTAGTTCCACAATAAATCATGCATACTTAGATACTAAATAGCTAAAATAATAATTAACAATGCTAGAGCCTAAGATGTTTTGTTTTAATTTTTAATTATAATAATTGATAGTGAATGTCAAAGTTATAGAAAGCTTAGATGCCGGACTGATGTCTAGGAGGATTTCTTTCTTCAATTAAGTGGTGGTCGATGAGGTTTTGCTGAAGGTCGGAGGAGGTAGTGGAGGTGCTCATATTTAGAGGTTAATGGAGTTTGAAGGACGTGTAGGCTACAACACATAAAATCACAATCAAGGCCTACAGGGTGCAATCCACGTAAGCAGATAATGCTCCCCTAAACGCTCGTAAAATCTAGATGGGTAGCCTAAATACCGCCTAGGCGCTAGGCGCTAGTTAGGCGGCCTAGGTACCGCCTAGGTCTAGGCGTACGCCTAAGCGGACTAGGCGAAGGTTTTTTAAATTAGTGGAGTTGCCAATCGCTGGTCAAAGATGGTGGCTAGTGCAAAGAAGAAGAACCGACTGAACCAAACCGCAATACTCGGTTTGGTCCAGTTTGGTTTGATTCCTATTGTTGGTTCGGTTCAGTTTAGTACAAATTGATTAAAACCGAGCCGACTGACCGTTTGCTCACCCCTGCCTAGATACACAATCCCTGCCCACTATGTTGCCTACATTATTGCGCAAATCCTCCTGCTGCCACTGCCGCTGCTATAACAAATAATAAGCAAAAATAATCATATTGAGGTTCGTGGTTGACTCGTGTTTCTTTTTCTTGTGGAGCCATTGATGGTCGAAGATGATGATCATCTGATTGTTGTTTCTACTGCAGTCTAAACTGACATGTAAACAATTTGAAGTGCAATGATTTGGTTGGATTTTGATTACAGATCTAATCTTTGTTGATTGGATCTTGGAGTTGATTCTGATGCCATTCTCCGTCTACCAGATAATGGAGACCTTTGAAGAGTGTTAAGGAAGAAACAAGCTGAAGAAACACAGTCCTCAGTTCTAAGTGAATTTCAATACTCAATAATAAACAAATAGTTCATTAGCCAAACTCTAATTTTCGAGTTTATGATAATCTTACCCATAGACTAAATACAATAATGGTTTAACTGAAAATCAGATTCCTAATCTAGTTCAATTTTAAATTTAAGACAAGGAAAATGTCCTAAATTAACTTAAATTATAAATAGAATGTATCTAATGTCCTAATCTAAAAGATAACTCCATAAAATTTAACACATTGTCCTTATCCTAATCAGACTCGAGCTTCTAAATAAAGCTAAAAGTGTGATATCCAATTACATAGAACTTCAAATGAATCCAGGGCAGATTAGCTGGCTTCAAATGATCTTCTGTTAAAATTGGATTTATGCTGATACACGTTACTTTCTAGTCTACCATGATTTATTTGTGCACACTGAGCGGGGCCTTTATTGTCAGTGGAAAGAGAAAAACTTCTTGACTTGGGCCAGATATAATCATATAAATTGAGGACTTATGACTTCTTGCACACTTGTTTCTTGGTTCACCATGTCAGTTATTTTGTCTTTGATTTTGAAAGGTCAGTTATTTTGTCTTTGATTTTGAAAGGTATTGTAAGCTTCATGTAATCTGCAAGTCCGTATTTATTTATGATCTTTTTTCTCATTATTTTCAGCTGTACGACATCAGATCGATGAAAGAGCTTGAGTCATTTCGTGGACACCGAAAGGATGTAACTGGTTAGTAAACTTTTGTTCTTTGGAGGATCTGTGATGATCTTATCAGATTCTTGAGCCTTTTCTTCCCTTTTTTCCTGTGATTTTCCCAGGTTTAATTCTGTTTCATTTGTTGTTTGCACGGTGATTGCATGGACCAAATAAGTTTCTTGTTGGCACCAACTGACTTTCTGGGATTTATGATTTGCTCCTTATCCGTAGTTTCCTTGCCCAAAATTTAGCTCCAGTTTAGAAGGATAATATCCGATCCATAGTTGGTTTGAAATTATTATGTTTAAACTTCCATAGATTCTTATGCTATACAGCCCTTTCCATTTTGCCAGGATAAAGATTGTATGGTGATTGCCAGTTGGTTTGTCTCATTCCATAACTGACAGAAACTACTGTACCCTAGTCAGTCTTCGTTACTGTCAACTGAATATGAACAGACTAGGGGTTTGGACCTTAACTGAAAAGTTGATCTGGTAACCCTAAATCCTTATTGCTTTTGCTGGATTTTCAGAAGCTTGCTGTTATTCTTTGTTTACATGCAAACAATGTTATCGAAGGCGCTAGACGGACTAGGTGTTCGAGCCAGGGCTTAGCACCTAGGCGCCTAGGCGTACGTCTAGGCGGTGCCTAGGCGTTTGCCTATTTTTTAATTTATTTAATTATAATAATTCATAAAAATATGTATTAACTTCATATAAAATCGCCAAAAATAAATAAAAAATAAATAACAATCTTAGATCCATAATCAACCATGCATAAATACTAAATAGCCAAATTAGTAACCAAATTCTAAGAAACATCATGTCCAACATAACAAGTCATCGCAACACTAAATAATATCGCAAACTCAGAAGTCTAATGCTCAAGAAGGGAAAAAAAACACGAATAGTCTAAATGTCTAGCACGGGATAATCATATAATCCAATGAAATCATCGTCAATCATCATCAACATGGAAATCCTTCCCCGCATGATCGCTCTCCGAGTTCATGTCCACGAAGTCCTCATCCTCATCCATGACATCATCGTCGGATGCAAGAGACTCTTTTTCTCTAGTAATCATCGAAGGTCCTGCAGCACCTGCTATTTTTTCACTCCAGTTTGTTGCAACCTTAGTCGCTCCAAATACCTTCTCCACCAATTCCAAACTAACACCCAAACCGGGATAAGTCCCTTACTCACCGTCATACATATACCACTAACTAGCTGCAAACACATTGTCTCATCACCAGTGCAAAAAATAACTTATGATTAATAATTTGATATATTCAATTTATAAACTAAATTTACATGGGTTGAAATTCACTTTCTGCCTAGATTTCATCACCAAACTTCTACCAAATGAGCCCTTACCTTCTCTGTACTTCTCCATGAACTCCTTAGTAACCTCAACTTGGTGTTCCTCATCGGGATAAAGCAGGTCCACATCTAGAAACCCCTTCCTCTCCCTGAGTTCTTAGCAACATCATCTCGAAAGAAGTAGTAAGGGTTAAGGACATAAGATGCCATATGTAAGGGTGTATATAATCGAGCCTCAGACTTGGAACATATAATATCAGTCACCGACTTTTATAGGCTCTCGTGTTTCTTCAAAACAAGCTTGATCTCCTCTTTTGTGTCTTCAAGCATCCTCACAACAAATCTCATTGAGGATCTATAGTCGCTATCAACCACCCTCGACATGCGAAAAAGGAGAGCATAAACCTTCAATAGCTTGTTTACATATTGCCACCAACTCTCACATAGGACATTGACCTCCATTTTCTACCCCTTACGGTCAGAGTGCTTGCTTTTTCTTCATTCTTTATCAGAAAACATGAGTCTTAGTTTTAGCTTCTTCTCATGAACACTCTGCAAGATCAAGAATGTAATGGCAAAGCGAGTGACTCCTGGTCTAGCAATCTCCCTCATCTTATACATGCGACGCATCATGTTCAAGATCTTGTGGTGGCTGTAGATGAAGACGGTAAGGCTCTTCGCTTTCTTAATAGTTGTTTTGAAGATTGATAACTTCCCAATGCCCTTAAGCATCAGGTCAATAGTATGAGCTGCACAATTGGTTCAAAAGATGCTCGGCCTATTCTTCTTCAATTTCTCCTTCGCCGTCATATTTGCAGAAGCATTATCTGTGACAACCTGGATGACCTTCTGTGGCCTAATCTCCTCAATGCATGCATCCACCCACTCAAAAATGTACTCCCCCGTGTGGGGGTCTCCGGAGCACTCAATCGACTTATAGAAAGTCGTGCCTAGCCTGTTGTGGATGCACAGGTTTATGATGGACCACATCTTCCTATCTGACCAAGCATCTGTCATGATAGAACCACTCTTCCCTCACTCATGCTCCTTCAATGAGTCCCTAGTCTCATTCACAGCACCCCTTAACAACGGCTCCCTCAACATATACATGCTAGGCAGCCGATAAGTACGTCCATAATCCCCAATAGCGCTGCACATCCGCCCAAAGGAGTCGGTGGAGAGCGCATGAAAAGGAATGCTATTCTCATATGCTCATCTAGCAATATGCTTGTGGACCCAATCTCTCTTCTCCTTCGTATAAGCTTCATTCACTCCAGGCTGAATCATTTTTCCCTTTAGTCTCTTTGCTAGCTCGGGATCAATAGCAGTATAAGCATCCATCGACCCAACGGTCGGCTCTCTAGACCTTTTTGAAGATCTGTCCATTGTATGTGTAGAAGAGACAATTTCCTATTCTTCAATATTCGTTGGATCCGGCTTGTCAAACTGTGTTTCATCTTGCAACTCCATGATATGCATCTCTTTTAGTTTCTTCCTCTTGGAATTAGCATCCATAGCTTCTTGGACTTTCTTCCTATCAGCAGCCAAAATCTTAGAGCACTTTATGCAACTTTTCCTTTGCCAACAAGATGTTGCTTCAATCTAAAGACCCCCCCTTCATCTTTTGCGACCACAATTTACATTGCACCAAGTTTAAATCAATTGGATCCGGAAGAAACCCAAACTCCCAACCAATATCTCCCGAGTTTCTTTTATCTTTCATAGGGGCTTTTGCGGGAATAGAGGTGGAACCCACAGATTCTTTAGGAGGAATATCCGACATTCTACATCACAACAATTAAACAAACAAACCATTCATAGATCAAATCATTAAATCATCCAATCATGACAAGTCAATTAAATAAAATTAACTAAGATTAAACTAAAATTAACTAAAATTGAACAAGATTAAACTAAAATTAACTAATTAAACTAAATTAACTAAAGTTGAACAAGATTAAACTGAAATTAACAACAATTAACTAAAATTAACTAATTAATTAAACTAAATTAGGTAATTAACTAAAACTAAACAAGATTAAACTAAAATTAACTAATTAAACTAATTGATTAAACTAAAAGTAACTAAAATTAGCTAAAATTGAACAAGATTAAACTAAAATTAACTACTATTAACGAAAATTAACTAATTAAACTAAATTAACTAATTAAACTAATTGATTAAACTGAAATTAACTAAAATTGAACAAGATTAAACTGAAAGTAACAAAAATTAAACTAATTATTAAACTAAAATTTACTAAAATTGAACAAGATTAAACTAAAATCAACAGAAATTAACTAAAACTATCTTAATTCAACTAATTAAACTAATTAATTAAACTAAATTGAACAAAATCAACTATTTAAATTGAAAAAACAGGTTATGAGTGAAATATTGGTCTAAAACAGTAAATAAGCTTGAATAACAGTTTAATAATAATAAAAAAGTTGAAAATCTCACCTGAAGGCCGGCGGGAGTTGGTCCGGTGGTGGCGGAGTTCTGGCGGAGGTCCGGTGGAGGTCTGGCGGGGGTCCAGCGGGTGCGGGAGAGCTGGAGAGGGTGAGATGTGAGAGAGGGTGAGAGACAGAGGAGAGAGTGGCAGGTGGGTGTGAATAGAGAAGGGGAGAGAGAGAGTTTAGGTTAAAGTTTGGTTTGGGTTTTGGTTTTCGGGTAGCGGGTACGGGTTTAAAGTTTGAATTTCTTTTACTTCAGAAAGCAGGCACCGCCTAGGCGAGCGCTTAGGCTGTCCGTTTTTTAGATCATTGCATGCAAAACTAGCTGAAGACGTTATTTCTAAAATCTTGATCCATGAATGGCATTTCTCTCTGAACAGAATTATCAAGCTAGCTAAGTTTCTACTTTATTTTTCATTGCTAATTTGTTAATTGTTCATAAGAAAAAACATGGTTTAAAAAAATATTTTAAAAGGTTACATTATCACTGTTTGAACTTTTGAGAATTCCTTTTGTAGGTGTACTATAATGAAAATTAAGTAGGTCTCTTGATCTTTTGCCATAATAAGGGTATTAATTCACCTATGTGGCATTTGTTCATCTGCTGTTTTGTTCATGACATATGAGGGCATAATGTGTTAGTTTTGTAGTTAGACACTCACATTCTTGGACGGATTGCTTTCTATTTACTAGCTTTGGCTTGGCATCCATTTCATGAAGAATACTTTGTCAGCGGGAGTTATGATGGATCGATCTTTCATTGGCTTGTCGGGTAATCCTTCTCTTTTTATTCATTCTTATTTACTTCACCATTCTGTCATTTAACTTTTTCGAAATGTAAAAATTGGGAATGACTCAAAACATAAGATTTCAAGGCATTCGTATGGCTACTGATTTTCTTATAATATCTGGATCCTGATATTGTTGGATGCACATATTACACTTTCATGTCTAAATAATACTTGGTGCTTTCCAGCCTTCTTTTCTTTGTTGCACAGATGTGAGCAGGGGACACAGATGCAAAAGTCTTGGGTGTACTAGCGTGCAAATTTTAGATATACTAGGATTACATCATGTCATGTGTATCAATTGAGATTCTAGTGCTGCCTAGGGTCAAAAACTCAATAGGAAAATAAGCTATTAGTATCTTGTGCACTGGACCAATACATGCCATTTTATCGCCTTGAACTGTTTTTTGTTTACAATCATATGCCAGGAAGACATCTAAGTCGTTCTATGATATTGTCTGCAGGCAGGAAACCCCACAGGTTGAAATTCCTGGTGCACATGAAAGTAGCGTCTGGGATCTTGCTTGGCATCCGGTTGGTTATTTACTTTGCAGGTAAGAAACACTCAGGGGGCCTTTGTTGCTTGCTAATGGTTATCAAGGATATGATGCTCCTAACACTTAATCAGTTTTTGTCTACTTCTTTGCATTTAAATTAATGTTCTCATTTATCTGTAATTAAATGTCACTATGTTAGCAATTCAATAGTTGAATGATGGGGACAGGAAGGAGCAAAAGGTCATTCTGATGAGGAACCTAACTTCTTTCTATAGAAGAAATACCTGCATGGATGAACCATGCTTTTCTCATTTAAGAAAGAAAACAAAAGAAATCATAGTCATTGAGTAATAGGACAATGAATTATGAAAGTAAGACTTGAGAGTCAATCTGATGATGTGATAGTTTGGTTGTTGAAAATGATAGAAGACAAATGACGGCTGTTTCATTCATCGACACATAATACGTGGAGGACAAAAAATATGCAGATGAACAAAAAGAACAAATAACTTGTACAATATAATGTCAAATAGGAAACTTGATAAAAACTCTTCTGTTCCCTAATATATTTGAACTTTTATTTCCTTTTGAAATTCTGCACCATTATCAAATATCGACGCTCCATCTAGTATTGATGAAACAGATAGATAATCTGACTATATATAAATATAATCATACATTCATGTTTCACGAAAACTTATTGGGTCAAAATGAACAAGAATGGACCAAAATCATGGATTGTAGCCAATGTTTTATATATCGACTGATAAACCAATATTATCGACGATTATCAGTTTTGAGGGCCTTCTGCTATGATAAGTTTGATTCTAAATCGGTTATTATTTTTAGATATTTATCGCCGATAATGCGACGATAAAGTGAGTTGTCGTCGATATTATCAGCGAAAAATCGGAATTATCTGCCTTTGGTTTGAGTTCTGATTTCGGGCAACAAGCACCTAGTTAATACACTTTAAACTTAACCCGACCCGATTTTTTTCCATTGGTTAGTGATCCTAAACATAATTATTTACATTTTGGTATGTTTATGTTTTATTAAGTATGATTAGATTACATTTTAGAATATTACATTATGTATATCACCATCCGGTAATGTCACTCTGATAAATACTACTTATCCTCGATATAATCCCGATATCCGCTATCCGGTATGGATCTTGACTGTCTGATAAATCACCGATAACCGATATCTAAAACCTTGATTGTAGCCCATGAAAACCGTAAATTTCCAAGTTTGCATGCTAAATTTTACTATGTCGAAGTGATAAAAATGGACAAAAATCGTGTGCTATAGCGGCATAGTGCATGGAAATCACAAATTTAGAGGACATGAAATATGAGAGCAAAATTTGATAATCAATGTGATGATGTGTTAGTGTGGTTGTTGAAAATGATGGATGACAATACTGACAACTTCATTCATCGACAGGTAATAAGGGGAGAGTGAAAGATAAAAAAACATGCAGTTGCACAAAAAAGCTAAAATGTACAACATAATGTTAAAATGGAAAATTGATAAAAGACTCTTTTGCTTTCGAGTATAATTGATTCGAGATTCTACACCATTATCAAATATAAGCCTTACGCTCCATCTAATATCGATGAAATAAATACATAATTAGACTATATGATATAAGCAACTATAAATATAACGTCTAGAAATGAAATAAACACACCCAAAATGCAAGGTTTAATAGAACTTCAATATGTTCACACCAAAATTGATAAAAATTGTGGATTATAGTTCATTAAATTCACAAAATTAGAACTATGTTTTATTACATGTCATTTAGACCAAATGTACAAAAACTGCCAAAATCATGAGTTATAACTTATCAAAATCGCGAATTTTGAAGTACTCATAATTATTTCCATTGTGTTGAATGAATGAATGAAAATGATGAATACTGAGGTTTGCGAATTTGGAAACACACCATGTTTTTTTTGAAGTACACATACTTGCTATTTGGCCAAATTTTTTTGACAAAAACTAAGGTTATAGCTCATGAAAATCGTTAGTGTTGAAGAACATAATGTTACATATTATTGGGATGAAACAAGCATAAATTGTCAAAATTATCAGTTATAAACCATCAAAATTATCAATTTTGAAGTAGTCAATAATCAATTGTTATTAGGTTGAAAGATTGATAATTGCCAAAAACCATGTGTTAATAGGCTACGAAAATTGTGAATATTGTAGTTCATACAATTAAGTGGCTTTGAAATGAACAAAAATCATGGACTATAGCTCATGTAAATCACGAATCTTGAAATACACATACTTATTTGCCATTTGGTCAAAATTAAAAATTAATAAAAGAGTTATATAGCTCATGAAATTGTAAAATTGCAAGAATGTATTATTACTTTGGCATTGGGAGAAGATAAACAAAAATAATTAAAATTGTCGGTATAACCTATCAAAATTGCAAATTTTATACTTGCTCATTATTAATTGTCATTAGGTCGAATGAATGATAATGAACAAAAATCATGGGATATAGCCCATGAAAATCACGAAAATTAAAGTTCACATAACTAATTGCTTTTGCGAAGCTAACAAAAATGGACAAAAACCATGATTTATAAACCATAGAAATCACTAATTTGGGATGTATGCATATTTATGTCATTTGGTTGAAAATCGAATTGATAAAAATCGTAGGTTATATAGCTTATTGAATACAAGATTCAAGATTTTGAAGTACTTATTATTACTTTATTAAAATGAAATGATAAAAAATTGTGAAATTATGCGTTAAAATCCATCAAAATTCGAGAATTTTGAAGTACACAATTAATTGCCATTGTGTTGAATGAATGATAATAGACAAAAATTAGGGGTTATAGTTCATAAAAATCGTGAAAATTAAAGTTAGCACAATTAATTGCTATGAGATCGAAAATAAAAAGATGGACAAAGGTCATGGACGAAACCATGAAAATCACTTATTTTGAAAGTATGCATACGTATTTGCCATTTGGATGAAAAAAAAAATCATGGGTTATAGTCCGTTCAATACGCGAAATTGGAAGTACATATTGTTAATATTGTTACTTGTTATGGGATGAAACGTGCAAAAATTGCCAAAATCAAGGGATATAATCTATGAAAATCGCAAATTTTGAGATACTCATAATTAATTACCGTTGTGTTAAATGAATAATAATAGATAAAAATCACGTGTATAGCCCATGAAATTCATGAATATTGAAGTCCGGGGATTTTGAAGTATGCGTACTTATCATTTGGTTGAAAAATGAGTTGATAAAAACCGTAAGTTATAGCTCAAGAAAATCACAAGTTTTGAAGTACGTATTAGTACTTAATATTAGGACTGAACAAAAAAGGTAACAAAATTGTGGTTATAACATATCAAAATAGCGAATTTTGAAGTAGTCATAATTAATTATCATTGGATCGAATGACTAATAATGGAAAAGAAATTGTGAATTTTGTACTTCACACAATTAATTCTTGCGGCATTGAAATGAACAAAAATAGACAAAAATCATGATCTATAGATATCGAAAATTATGAACTTTAAAGTATGCGTGCTTATTTGCTATTAGGTGGAATGAATGATAATGGACAAATACTGTGGGTTATATCCTATGAAAATCGTAAATATTGAAGTTCGCACAATTAATTCCTATAGCATTGAAATGGAAAGTCATGAACTATAATAGATGAAAATCACGAATTGTGAATATAGGCAAAAATTGTGAGTTATTTAGCCCATGTCAATTTCTAATTTTGAAGTATGTGTATTTAATTGTCATAGAAGCGAAAAAATTCATAAAAAATCATGGGCTGTGAAACATATGAAAATCGTGAATTTTCCTGCTTAAATGTCACGATGTTGACATGAACAAAAATAAATAAAAATCGTGAGTCATAGCTCATGAAAATCGCCAAGTCTGAAGTGTGTAGTTGATTTGCATGGGATCGAGATGAAAAAAAAATGAACAAAAATTATGGATTGTCTATTTTTAATTATTCATATTTAAATGCCATTAGATTAATACCAAATTTAAAGTATGCGTACTTAATTGCCATTAGGCTGAAATGAACAGAAAAATGGATAGCTTTTAGCCCATGAAAATTACGAATTTCGAGTTACACCAATTTAATTGCTATCGGGTTGGAAAAAAAAATATGAGTTATAGCTCTTGAAAATTATAAATTTTAAAATATGGATAATATATGATAATCGTGGGCGCGCATAAAATCGTGAATTTTGAATTATGTGTACTTAATTACCATTGGGTTGAGCTAAATAGATTTAGACAAAATCGTGGGGGTGCATAAAATCACGAATTTTGAAGTATGTACTTAATTGTTATTGGGTTAAAACGAATGAAAAACAGACAAAAATCGTGGGCTATAGCCCCTTGAAAATCGTAATTTTGAAGTATGCTTACTTCATTGCTATGCGGTCGAAATGAACAAAAATAGACGAAAATCATAGGTTTATCCCTACTCTCCATCCCCTTCCATTTCCCCCTCTCCGGTTGATCGCTCAAGGTACAAAACTAACCCATGAAAATTGCGAATTTTTAAGGACAAACTCAGTTGTCGTTGTATCGAAGAGTCAAACATGGACAAAAATCATGTGCTATATAGCTCATGACATACACATACTTATTGTGTTGTTTTCTTATTTTTTGAATTAGTTTTTAATTTGTTCTATAAGATCTAAACAAAGTTTTCTTTTATGGTGCATCAAGCATCCTCGTTGCAAATAGTGCTTTTGGTTTTAGAATATTATGCTAGCACTGCCCCCACTTGACTAGAATGGAAGTACTTGCAGTAGTGTTTGAGCTATTGAAAATTTATTTTTTGCATGGCACTGAGAAGTGCAATGGACGTGTTGCATACTGTTCTCAGATTCGGCTTGTGGTTGGAGTGCCACATGTTATTTGACTTTTGCCTACGGTAATTAGAATTCAAATGGCAGAAGTGCAATGAATATGTTGGCTACTGTTGTCTAATTCAACTGGTGTTAGTATATCATAATGAATTAGCTTATTAGGACAGATCACATCCCTCTCATCATGTTGATGATCGTGAAACTAGCTGTTTATATAATCATTGTCCTTTGGCGTTCCTTTGATTGCTATAAGCTACTATAGTTATGTCCGTTCTGTGTATCAGTGTCTTTCGCAATCTTTGCAACCATTGTCAATAGTAGACTCTCCTTGGGAATTATTTTTACTTTTGGGTTTGCCTCTTTCTTAGTTTTTCTTTATGCTCTTCTTTATGCTTATTGATAAGTTTGAAGTCACTCTTCATTTACCTTTTGTTGCGTAACTTTGGTAAAGAAATACCTCTTAACCTTTTTTTCATTTAATGGAATTCACATGCTTAATGAAAACTGGATGTAGCTGCGCGTTATACTTTGATCATATACTTGTTTCCTTTGTTCTCCAAATAGTTTCCTTCCACATGATAGTTACAGTAATATTGAACTGAAAATGGCTATGGATTACAGAGTTACTGAATCAAATCTATTGATTTACCAAATATTATATGTCTTATGCAGTGGTAGCAATGATCACACTACCAAGTTTTGGTGCAGAAACAGACCTGGAGATACAGCTCGTGACAGATACAGTGGTGGTTACAATCAAGGTTCTTCCATTGTTTTTTCCCCCTACCTTCAGCCTTCTTCATGTAATATTTTCTTATCTTATGTATCTTTACTAAGTTTTCCAGGTTATGGAGACCAGAATCTTCTCTCTGGTCGTATGATGAGTGGATTCCCAGTACCAGAACCTCCACCAACTCCAGGACCTTTTGCTCCTGGATTGTCTCGAAATGAGGGAAATATTCCTGGAATTGGAGTTGCCATGCCATTATCTGCCCAATCGCTGGATGGTTCTGATCAGGGAGAACAGAGGCCAGCTATTCCGGGTCTTCTACCTCCTGGAGCACCTCCTCTTCCACCTGGACCTCATCCGTCTCTTCTGGCATCTGGACAGCAGCAAGCTTATCAGCAATACCAACCTCAGCAACATCAACAGCAGCAGCAACCATCTTCATTTCCGCAACAAGTGGTCCAACTTCCTCTACCACCATCAAATATGAACCAGATGCAGCCTCCACCACATTTACAGCTTCTTCCACATCCTCATATGCCGCGCCCTCCTCCTGGTCAACCACCTCAAGTTCAGCAACTTGGCATGCCTGGTTCCGTGCCTTCCTCAATACCTGGATCCATGCCCATGTCTATGCAAAATCCAATGGTAATTCTATGTCATATCACTTGTAGTTCTGTGAAACGTGGTCTGTGGATATAGTAAGAAAAACAAGATAATAGAATGAAAAGAAAAGGAATAGGAAAGATGGACAGTAGTTGGGGGGCTAAGCAATTGGTCATATATTTAAGAATACAAAGTTAAAATCAGATAGTTTACAATAGTTTATTTTGGGAAAGATCATGCAGAAAGATGCTGTGGATGTGAATTTTTTTATATTTTGATCTAATTCATTTACTCATATGTTTCTTTACCTTGAGGAAAGCCTGTAGGCTTTAGTCCTAATTGTTTAAGGGAAGGAGGCCAAGATCTAAAATTTTAACATTTTTGGTGCTGCCGGTTTTTTGGGTCTATTGTTACTTAATCTAACTTGCTTGATTCATTGAATTTCATCTAATATCAAAACATGAAAGTTAGGAAGTAATATCACAAATTACTAATTAAAAATTAAATAAAGCATCAGGTGTTTAAGATGGGTTGAAATGTATATATTTTTGTAGAAATATTTTCCTTCTTTATTTGTTTTTATTAAGTGTCAAATGTCAAGATGCATTTTACTTAAACCGACGCAAAATCCATAAAATATGAACCATCTCTTCAGAATGCAGGATTATTGTTGAAATCGCCTGTAAAGAAAATTTATCAATCTCTTTTTTTTTCCCCTTCTCTCTTCAAGCCCCTGTAACTTTTATATATTGAATCTCATCTAAATATTGTCTTGATGTTTTACGAGTTTTAAGGAGTTTTTCTCATCCAATCACTTCTGTCATATTCATAAGCGATCATGCGCATGTTACTGATCACTGTTCTGATGAAGTCCGAAAAAAATTAATGAACTTACATGAATCTACAGGCAATGCAGGGTTCATCAAATCAAATGATATCTCCAATGCCACAAGGACATGTGATGGGTCTTAATCAGATGCATTCAGGCCCTCCTTCCTCTAGTAACCTTCCACCTAATGTTGCGGGGTTTCCAAATAACTTGACAAATATTCAGGGTGCACCGGGTGCAGGTGGTGTACAAACTTTTCCTATGGGCGGCATGTTTAATCGGCCGCCTCAAGGTGGGCAAATGTCACAGATTCCAGGATTAAACACCTTCCAAGTATGTAGTTCCTTCTCTGCTTAAAATGTCTTTTTTGGGATAAATTTCGCGGAAGTAGCACGAACATGTTACAGAAAAACCAGGCTAAATTATTATAAGGTAAATATCATAAAATAATCATGAATTAATATAGGTTTTGCACGAAAATGGCATAAACTGTACTTCTTTGAGAAAAATGTCTTAAACTTTCACATCAGCAGAAAATACGACAAACTTTTTTAAAAAAACTGAACATGAAATAACTGCCTTGATTTTTATTATGCTTTTTAAAAGTACCATAAATTTTCAGATGAAATAGGTGAACTACCATAAACTTTATATTATGTGATATAAACTACCATGGAATTTTGCATATTTATCATAAAACTACTTGTATAGCATTGTGTTATTTTCTGCTGATTGAAGTTTGCAGTACTCTTCTCTAATAAAATTGTTTATGGTAGTTTTGTGAAATAACCCCCTATTTTATTAGAGATAATGACCACAGATGAGACAGTTCCATTGAACCGTGTCTTTAACACCATTAAGAGAGTTTTCTACTGATTTTAAAGTTTGTAGTAGTTTTCTCTAATAAAAATAGTTTATAGTAGTTTCCTGCAAACCCTTTTTCATATGCATCCTATTGGATTTGTTTCATGTGTAATTTGTCTACTTCCATAGCTTAACGCCCTTGAGTCGATTTTGATTGCAGCCTGGAATGATGGATGGGCGAGGTCCTGGGATGGGACTCGGAGGTGCAAATATGGGGCTTCCACAACCGCCTCCACCGCCGCTACCGCAAGGTTCAGCACCACAACAATGAGTTCGACATCTTAATGGAGATAGAATTTCAAACATTCATCAACGAGAATCTAAGGATGGAAATAGCCTAGGTTGTTAAGGTTAGGAGAGAAGCTTTACATGTTGCTGAGCTTTGTAATGTTTCAGAAACCCATTTGCTGCTGATTTGTTTTGATGAAAATGTACAGCAGCAATGTTGTTTGTTATCTTCTTTTTATGCTCTGGAGGTTTTAGTGATACTTCCAAAAAAAATTTAGTACATTTTGTTGCTGTTCTTGTGTGCTGTTTGTTAAATAAGGTAGATTGTTTAACAGAACATCAAATTTGTTACTGTCGGTGGTATGCCATGTTGCTTTATGATACGTTTGTGCCTCGGTGCTGATGATAACATTGCATTTTGGAAGAGAAACGAGAAACCTCAATAATATTTATTATGCGGCTACGCAAGTGAAACTTTGCGAAACATCTGGTGAAGATCATCTGGCGGAGATAATTTCTTCTGTGCAGCTGGAAAGCCCCAAACTTGATTCTCAGTCTCGTTGAAATAAGGAAATCATGAATTTATAATGATCGAGCTTGCAAGTTCATCTTGAATGCAATTTGATACGCGTTAGTGCAAAAATTATTCAATTCAGGGGTTCATGATACTGGGACAGTGCTCAGTCTTGAATGCAATTTGGTACACAGTAATACCAACATTATTCAATTCAGGGATTAATGATACTGAGACAGCGAAAGAAGAGACTGTTCTTTAGTCTTTTCATTCACTTCATTGCCTGGGTCCATACAAAAACATGAAAAAATATAGCTCAAATATTTATGAAATTATTTGTTAAAAAACCTACAAGTTTTGTTTATTTTTGTTTATTTTGACCTAATAGTAAATAATTAAATGAAGTTTTAAATTCACAAGTTTCATGAGCTATAACCTATGATTTTTATTATATTTTGATTGTTTCAACCAAATGGTAAAAAGTTAAGCGGAGTCTAAAATTCATAATTTTATGAGCTACAGCTTCGACTCCATTTTCGCTTGTTCTATGAATTTAAAATTAATGATTTTATGAGCCATAACCCAAAATTCTAGTCCATTTATGCTCAATCCAAATAGGAATCATGAATTTTTGCCTCCAAGAGTTTATTTACCCATGGGGCGAAACGATTATAGATAATCAAAAATTGTAGTTTATAACTCACAAAATCGTGAATTTTGACTACTGCGAAAATAATGGATAGGAAGTCCAAAACATTAAAAATGACCAAATATCATAGGTTATAACGCATAAAAATCATAAATTTTAGTCGAAGGGTCAAAATGACTATAAATAGCCAAAATTTGTGACGTGTTGCTCATAAAATTGTGAATTTTAAAACTCGTAAAACTATTTGCCAAGTGGTTAAAACAATTAAAAATGGCCAAAATGTGGATTATAGCTTACAAAATCATGAATTTTGGCAGCCGAGAAATTATTTATGCACATGTCGTGATAACTATAAATAACCAAAATGTGGTTTATAACTCACAAAATTATGAATTTTGGCCACTGCAAAAATATTTAACAATGGGTCAAAACAACAAAAGATAGCCAAAAACCATGGGTTATAGCCCACGAAATCATAATTTTTAGTCTCCATGAAATTATTTACTTATGGGCGAAAACGACTACAAAATGACCAAAAAATGTGGATTACATAGCTTATGAAATTATGAATTTTGAACCTTGTAAAATTATTTGGTAAGAGGTCGAAACGAGTAAAACTGACCAAAAAACATGGGATGTAAATGAAAAAATCATGAATTTTTCCCTCCATAAAATTATTTACCCACGGGATGAAGCACTATAAATAACAAAAAAATTGTGGTTTATAGCTCAAAAAATCGTGAATGTTGGCCACTGTGAGAATATTTAATAGTAGGTCAAAACGAACAAAAATGGCTAAATATCATGGGTTATAGCCCATAAAATCGTAAATTTTAGTCTCCGTGAAATTACATGTCAATGGCTCAAAACGACTAGAAATTGCCAAAAATCATGGATTATATAGCCCATGAAATAGTGAATTATGAACATCATAAAATATTTTGCTAGTAGGTCAAAATGACTAAAATGACAAAAAATGTGGATTATTGCTCACACAATCATGAATTTTGGCGTCCAAGAAATTATTTACCAACTTGTAAAAATAACTAAAAGTAACCAAAAATTATGATTTATAGCACACAAAACTATAAAACCCCAAAATTTTGAATATTTTATGATAAATAATGATAAATATGTTATATGGTGAAAAATAATATATTTTGATGTTTGAATATGATAAGAATTGCTTTGAGATCAATTCAATATATATTTGTGAATATATGAGTGCATATGTGCAAGACATGCACAAAGGTCGAAAGAGAAATTTGAGATTTATGATCAGTTATGAGTTTTTATATTTTTACGCACTAATTCAGTTAGAATCTGAGAAAGTATAAAAGATCAAAGTTGTAGGTCTCTTCAATAGATTTCCAACAAAATTTAAATCACCTCATTCGGAGATCGGGCGAGAAAGTTATCGCCAATATACCGAACCCCAGCCTGTGTGCAGGTTTCTATACGGTCGACTATTGGGCGTGCAGACGCCAGGATTGTCTCTGTTTCGGGTTGGTTTTGTTTATACCGAACCCGGGAGTATACCTAAGTATATATATCCGTTTTGAAGCTCTCAGAACCCTCTTTTAAACCCTAATAGTCTCAGCCCCCTCCTCCTCCTCTCTCTCTCTCTCTCAAACCCTAAACCCCCTTTCTTTGGCGATTCTTGGAGGAGCTGACGCGAGATCCATCGGTGTTCAACGAAGGAGAATCGTTCTCACTCGTTTTTGGGAGTTCATCAACACCCCTCGGGCGAGTTTCATCTCACCCAATCCTACACCTATGTTTTAAATGTTTTTAATAAAGTTTTTACTGTGTTTTATAAGCCTAAAATGCTATTTTATGTATAAAGATAGATCTTTATATTGTATGTTGCAAAAAGAACAAGTTTTCAGTTAATAAAGACCACCCACAAATTTCTTTATGCAGATCTAGATCTGAAAATTTTCCTAACAAGAGTTTTGAAAGAAAGATAATTGTTTTCAAACGTGTCGACATGCATACATGTGTTTAAAAAGGTTTTTTTTGTCTATAGTGATTAGATTGTATTTTTTTTTACATATTCTAGAAATGCTAAATCACGTATATAGGATTTGTAGTATATAGAATCGTCGCATAATGGCTTTTGAATCAACGTTGAGGAGCAGAAACCTATAGAAAGGTTTCTGTCTCTTCACGGTCGATCGCTGGGGAATTTTCTGCATGTTCATGTTGTTGCATAAGTTTGTGTGGTTGGCGAGACACCTAGGTTATATGGGATTATAATACACTGCGATTTGCATATATGAGTTGACTACAGACACGAGTTTTAGATTTACTCACCGAGGCACGAGAGTGAGTAGTAAATATGCTGATTTTTTTTATATTACTTTCATGTTGAAGTCCTCGTATTGGACTATAATCCATTAAAGTCCTCGTGTTGGATTATAATCCATTGAAGTCCTCGTATTGGACTATAATCCATTATACTCGTCGTGTTGGACTTTAAGCTTTTGCAGTTCATGCATGTATTAGACATTTACCTATTTCAGTCCACGAGTTGGGCACGTATTTGACATCTGACAGGTCATTGATATTATGGTTGGAGATGGAGCTATATTTCTTTATTGCTCAACGTTGTAGTTTTTTTTTTGTATTTGGTATTTAGCTATTTATAATTTGAGCTAACGAGAGACGTACCTATGCTCGTGTTGTAAATTTCTAAATATCAAACCACCATTTTATTTCGGAGTAGATGATTGACTATCTATATGTATTAACAACTATTTTTCTTTCTTCTAGCCCTTCCCCAGAGGTTGGTTGAGATGTTACTCGCTAGCGCTTGACGCTCGTTGTTTCCCCCCTTTCAGGTAACGAGCCAGGTGCACGGAGAGCCGTAGGTTGATGGAATTGCTCTAGCAGTTATTTATCTATATTGTTAGTAGTTTATGTCAGAACTCCACAGTAGACGTGTTTATGAATATTTGAGTTATCATTCTAGTTTTGTAAAGGCGATGTGCCTAAATTTCATTTCATTTGATTTCCTATGTCGAGACACTTGTATTCAGTCAGATGTTATTTCTCTCAGAGATTTGTCTATTTATTTCAGTGATGATGATTTCTTCAGAATATGTGTCGTTTAGTATTTCTTCTGTATATTTTCTCTAGCATGTTTTGTACCTACACCTGTTATTGATTTTACTAGATAGATAGTAATTATTATGGTGAAACATCCTATTGCACGGTGTAGTGCATGGCATGTTTGACATTCTTAGTTTCACCTTAGACTGCAGCCTTGTTGAAACCAGAGGCGTCACAAGGTCAAACTCTAACTAAAAATAGCCAAAAAATCATGGATTATAACTCATGAAACCATCAGATTTAGATTCCATTGAATCATTTTGTAATGTGTAGAAATAACTAAAAATGGCAAAAAAATCATCGAAAATATAGCTCATGAAATCGTAAATTTTAAATTTCACGAAATTATATGCTAATGAGTCAAAATAAATAAAAATGGCCAAATATCGTTGGTTACAGCAGATGCAATATTAAATTTTAGCCTACGCAAAATTATTTTCTAATATATCAGAATTACTAAAATAGCCAAAATCATGGATTATGGTTCATGAAATTGTGAACTTTTGACTCCACAAATTATTTGCTAATTTTTGAAACTTTTGAAATGGCCAAAAAGCATGTGTACTGGCTCTTGAAAATTGAGTTTTGGACCTTGAAAAATTACTCGTGAATTGGATGAAATGAATAAATATGACTAATAGCCGTGGTTTATAGCTCATGAAATCATAAATTTTAGCCTTTGTGAAATTGTTTATCAATGAGTAGAAATGAATAAAAATAGCTAAAAAACACTGGTTCTCTAGCACATGAAATCATAAATGTTTGCCTACACAGAATCACTTTCCAGCAAGTCGAAATGATTAAAAATGGTTAAAAATTTATTGGTTATAGCTTACGAAATCCTTAACTTTAGACTCCACGAAGTTATTTGCTAATAAGTAGAAATGACTAAAAATATCCAAAATCATGGGCAATAGCTCATGAAATTTTTAATTTTGTACTTGGTGAAATTATTTACCAACATGTCAAAATGACTAAAAAGGACCCAAAATTATGAGTTATATCTCATGAAATCATGAATTTTGGCATTCGCGGAATTATTTGTCAATGGCTAGAATCGTCTGAAATGTCAAAATTTTATGGGTTATGGATCATTAAATAATGAA